GACCTATCCGAAGTCAGAACTGCAGTTCATCCTGGATGAGAACAACTTTTGGGAAAGTAAGGCTATGTGAAATTCAATTGAAAATTCAACTCTACTCAATTATTGTGGGAAAATTATACTTCCAATCCTTAATCACATTAAACCAGTGGTTCCCAAACTTTTCCTAGTTGCGGCGCCTTTTTTTAATTAAAATTTTGCCATGGCGCCCTACCCTAAATATGACTACTTGTAAGTAAGAGATAAAAATAAATAAAACTCGTGTATCTTCATTATTTTTTTACCTCATTGACATTAAATTAATGTGATAGATGAGCCTGCAAATCACTGCACATTTACTCAAATTGAAGCTTTTACAACATTTCGCGGTGCCCCTGTAAAGAGGCTGCGGCTCCCTTGGGCTCGCTGCGGCGCACACTTTGCGAATCACTGCATTAAGCGAAATAGAGTGAATACATCTCATATTACTGATTTTCTGGTAGTTTTTAAACTCTACTTTCACACGAAAACTAGTAGTAGATAAGCCTATGATATGATATGCCTATTTAAAATAGGATTAATACGAGCTATTAACCGCTTATTAATAACACACCTATAAGGTCGCCATTATACATACTATTTTGAAATTTATACAGCAAACATAGTAAGCATAATTGGCAAAGTTATTAACCCATTTAATTTTTTGACTTAGGCACATTTATCTTGTCTTAAGAATGAGGATTATAATAGGCCAATGAAGCTGATGCAGGACAATTAGGAATATTAGTTATAAAAAACTAATTCAATTTCATGATACTTTGATTGTTTGATTCTCACACAAAATGTATCGTTTATAAAAATTTAGCCGTATGTTTTGTTCTTATTTAACATGGTTTTAGTAAAACAGAAATAAATGCTTTGACCTAATATTTGATTACTATGCTGCAAGAATGTACGTCTAAAATATAGAATCATGCAGTATATTGTACGCTTCTGAAGTATTTAAATTTTAAGACGATTGCTAAAGACTCCCAGCTTTGTCCAAATCTCCCATAAATATTATTTTATAGTACTAATTCCTTACCATTACATTACCATTTGCAATATCACTAACACAGTCTTCGTTATTTTTATTTTTCAGGAACGCTTATAGCTCTGTATGGTGTCGCCTTGCACGTGTATGGGATCGGTCCATCACTTATCGCTTGCCGACAAACATAGTCCGTGAATCTGCTTGCAATTCACCTCGCACTTCGCCAAGACCCAACTTTTTCACAAACTCTGGGTCCTGTGCTCGCACTGATCTTGTATATCAGGGACGTCGTCTACCCGGAGAGTCTAATGAAACAATGGCAGCTCGTCTGACAGAAGCCCGCGTATGGCTGCGTCTTCTGTTCTCAAATACCTCATCTGATACTGTTGCCATATCTACGACTGAGGCGAA